ATGCTTTAAAATCCGGCTTGTGAACAGCTGACTTTAATTCAATCAGATATTAGTCCAATCAATGCAGCATCGTAACTTTGATACAGTAGAAATATCCAAAAAGAGGATTATCAGAAGAAAATCATAAGTGTGTACATTGGATAATCAGATTAAGCTATCGAGATTAAGGATATCTCATTTTAAAGTTTTCAGATCAGTGCATACATAAAAAAAATGTGGAAAATAATGTAGATTCTCCGACCCCAAAACGGTTTATTACTGTAAATTCCTTCATTGTAAATTGTAAATTGTAAACCGTTGTAAATTGACTAACCTGTGTATTGGCCAGCTCGAGATTATCAACCCTGTATAGATCTGGATAGATAGACTGGATGAGAGGGATGAGAGGCAAACATTTCATTTCTATTAAACTACTCGTTCTATCATCAAGCTTTATACCAGACCTAGATAAATATAGATAGTTAGATAGATATAGATATATATATAGTTAGATAGATAATAGATATAGATATATGGATAGATAAGATTGGATGAGAGGGATGAGAGGCAGACATTTCATTTCTATTAAACTACTCGTTCTATCATCAAGCTTTATACCAGACCTAGATATATATTATATATAGATAGATAGATAGATAGATAGATAGTTATAGATAGATAGATGTTTGCTGTGTGTACTATATGAACTATACCTAGCTGAGAAAGCTTGGGATTTGAGCAGAGCTAGAACATAAAGAGGGAGAAGAGCTAGACTAGGACTGATTGGAAGAACTCCAGGCTGNTATCATATCATATCATATCATACAGCTAGGGATGCGTCCAACAGCTCCTTGACCTACAAGGGGTATGCCATCACAATCCCCTATAGGTGAAGGATTTTCAGCCTGACATATTTTAAACCTAACGTCGGACACACGACCAAATTTGAGTCATGTCACCGGTCTGATTCCTTTTGCCAGCTAGCTGCCAAACAGTTGTATTAAATACATATTTAAATGCTGACAGAGAGAATCTCCCTCCCGGTTAACGGAAAGCTTGGGATTTGAGCAGAGCTAGAACATAAACGTGTACTGTGTACCGTGTTCTGTATGTACTTTATGAACTATACCTAGCTGAGAAAGCTTGGGATTTGAGCAGAGCTAGAACATAAAGAGGGAGAAGAGCTAGACTAGGACTGATTGGAAGAACTCCAGGCTGTGAGATACACTGAATCATTTTCCATCTAGAAAAAAAAACTTAATATGAGGTTCATTTCTTCAAAACTTGGTTATTAAAGGGACTGGAGACACAAACTCGAATAACCATCCTTGAAAATCCAAATGCCAGATTCTCAACAGTACCCTTACTCTTTTTTCTCATCATCAATGCGAAAGATAACGTTGAATTTAGCTTGAATAGTGTTTGATATTGGTTTTTCCCATGATTTTCCTAAAGTGGAAATGTGCAAGCCACTTTTTTAAAGAAACCACAATACAAATTTAAAGGTTTTTGGGGATACAATTGTAAATCGGACATTGGCATTTATCATGGAGGGTCACTTAGTGATACACTTACAGTCCCTTTAACACCCTTTCCTCTAAAAAAGTTGTGCTTTGCAGTGTTATTGACAAGAAAGATCAAAATAGACTGCATTTTTCCATTAACCATGCGTCGACATACAGTGGGAACCATGAAACTTTGGACTTGGGAGACGTCTGTTAAAATATGAAATAACCCAATGACTATAAAAACAAGATTGTGCAATGTGCACTGTGCAATGAACACAGAACACATTTACTCTTTAGGTCTACTGAACAAACGAATTACATTACACAAACATAAAAATACGCATAATATAGCTGAAATGTCGTCTTCCTATTCCACAATTATGTCGTCTTTACATAGCACAGTTTAATGGGTGGTATTGTATGAAACTCCGAAGTCCTTACCTTGATATTGAATCTATACAGGCGTTAATAAACGCTTCCTTAGCATCAACTAAACTTGAATTTAACGATCTATCCACCGCCATCTTGGCCAGTAGACCAATTATGCATTGCTGATCAGCTCCCTAAACATATTTAACTTGAATTTAAGACAGAGGCGTAGTCAGCAGAGTGGCTATGGGGACTAAGTCCCCAAATATAATTATTATCATTCTTATCAAAGGAAACCCCTGCATTTAATACAGAAATTAAGTTATGTGAAAATTTTTGAAACGTAATATTCCCAATGAAACTAATTAATATTCCCTATAAACCTGTATTATTCCCTGTAAACCTGTATTATTCCCTGTAAACCTGTATTATCCCCTGTAAACCTGTATTATCCCCTGTAAACCTGTATTAGTTCTTGTAATCAAACCTGTATTTTCCACTGTAAACCTGTGTTATCCCCTGTAAACCCTGTATTAACCCCTGTAAACCTGTATTATCCCCTGTAAACCTGTATTATCCCCTGTAAACCTGTATTATCCCCTGTAAACCTGTATTATCCCCTGTAAACCTGTTTTATCCCCTGTAAACCTGTTTTATCTCCTGTAAATCTGTATTATCCCCTATAAACCTGTATTAACCCCAGTAAACCTATATTATCCCCTGTAAACCTGTAATAACCCCAGTAAACCTATATCATCCCTTGTAAACCGGTATTATCCCTGTAAACCTGTATTATCCCCTGTAAACCTGTATTATCCCCTGTAAACCTATGTTATCCCCTGTAAACCTGTGTTATCCCCTGTAAACCTGTATTAACCCCAGTAAACCTGTGTTATCCCCTGTAAACCTGTATTAACCTCTGTAAACCTGTTTTATTCCCTGTAAATCTGTATTTTCCACTGTAAACCTGTTTTATCCCCTGTAAACCTGTATTAGTTCTTGTTAACAAACCTGTAATTTCCCCTTTAAACCTGTGTTATCCCTTGTAAACCTGTATTATCCCCTGTAAACCTGTATTATCCCCTGTAAACCAGTATTATCCCATGTAAACCTGTATTATCTCCTGTAAACCTGTATTATCCCCTGTAAACCTGTATTATCCCCTGTAAACCTGTATTATCTCCTGCAGAGAAGAGCAGACTGGAATACAGAGTGTATGAACCCTAATCCTACGTTCTCCTTTACTACTAGTATACAGCAGAGCAGCTTGGAAACTCACTTCGCGGCTATCCTTCAGGTCTTCATCGATAGAAACCTGATCAATCAATCAATCAATCAATCAACAAATCATAAACCAACCAATAAATCAATCAACTAATAAAAAAAAATAATCAATCAAACGATTAATCGATGTATCAATCAATCAACCAACCAACCATTTATGAAATCAATCCAGCAATTTTTTTTATTAAATCAACCGTGACATCAATCATTCTCTATAATAACCAACCAATCAATCATTCAGTAAACCAATCAATCCATCAACCAATTTATCAATTAAAAAATAATTTACTAAATCAAGCAACTCATCAATTAATCAACTACAATTAATCATACCGAATGATATGTCTGCCAGCATGTAAAATGTTTTGCTAACCTGCATACCGAACCCTGAGTCTGGATTAACATTGGGGAGAGATAACAAATCCGTAGACCTGAAATTATGTGATTAATTTCAGCTTTATTAAAAAGCTTAAAATTAAACAGTGCTGCTCCTCAAAGTGACGCTTAAATTGCGGCCTAATTTCTTTTAAAAAAATATCTAACGGTTCTTTTGCATTGAATTTGTCTTTCACGTCTAAATTATTCAAGTCAAATACCGTCTAAATTATACAAGTCAAATACCGTCTAAATTATTCAAGTTAAATACCGTCTAAATTATTCAAGTCAAATACCGTCTAAATTATTCAAGTCAAATACCGTCTATATTATTCAAGTTAAATATCGTCTAAATTATTCAAGTCAAATACCGTCTATATTATTCAAGTCAAATACCGTCTAAATTATTCAAGTCAAATACCGTCTATATTATTCAAGTCAAATACCGTCTAAATTATTCAAGTTAAATACCGTCTATATTTTTCAAGTTAAATACCGTCTAAATTATTCAAGTTAGATATCGTCTAAAATATTCAAGTTAAATATCGTCTAAATTATTCAAGTTAAATACCGTCTAAATTATTCAAGTTAAATACCGTCTAAATTATTCAAGTCAAATACCATCTAAATTATTCAAGTTAAATACCGTCAATATTATTCAAGTCAAATACCGTCTATATTATTCAAGTAAAATACCGTCTATATTATTCAAGTAAAATACCGTCTAAATTATTCAAGTTAAATACCGTCTAAATTATTCAAGTTAGATACCGTCTAAAATATTCAAGTTAAATATCGTCTAAATTATTCAAGTTAAATACCGTCTAAATTATTCAAGTTAGATACCGTCTAAAATATTCAAGTTAAATACCGTCTAAAATATTCAAGTTAAATACCATCTAAATTATTCAAGTTAAATACCGTCTAAAATATTCAAGTTAAATACCGTCTAAATTATTCAAGTTAAATATCGTCTAAATTATTCAAATTAAATATCGACTAAATTATTCAAGTTAAATACCGTCTAAATTATTCAAGTTAAATACCGTCT